AAATATAATTTTTAATATTTTTATATAATTTTTTATTTTTTTTATAATATTGTGTTTTAATAAGACTGCTCGTCCTAAATAACCAATAATAACCCATGCTCAAGGATTCTTTTTATGGGTGTTTCTATTTATTTATCTCGAACGAACTTACATTGATATACATTATACATTGTTTTTATATTATTTTTGGTAAATAAATTATTATTATTATTATTATACAAATTTAATCACCTTTCAATTTCGATTATTTTGCAATGAGTTAAATTATTTATACTACAAAAAGCATAAGCGTCCAATTGTCTTTAAATAAAGTGTTTTGGGTAGTTTTAATACCTTACAGTTACACCAGCGTGTTTTATTTTAAAAATAATATAATTTTTTGTGAACAAAAATACATATTTACTGATTTGAGCTAAAGTCACCCATGTGGGTCAAAGTCACCCGACTTTACGGTAATCAAAATCTTTTCATGGCAAAAATAACCAAATAGCCTGTTCTAAATGAAATAGAAAATATTATATTAAGCATTTTATCATTTTTTTGGAGTTTGGTAATAAATATTTTAGCATTTTTCCGGCCATTATAATAAATATATGTTACATTTTTTGTTTACTATGAAGTTTGATTTTGCTTCATATTGGTTTTTAATTTTTTTTAGTGTAATTGACTTTTTAGTTGTGACACTATTGTATAACTTTGCTTGTGCATTTTCTAATGAGAAAAAGCGATTTATTTATAGTAGCCCATGGGGTTCCGAATATTTTAGGACAGTCCTGTAGAAGGGCAATTAAGAGACTGATTTACTAGCTCTAGACAAGCGCGTAGCTAGGTTGTTTTTTGGGAGGGAACACTACTCACATTATTGGTGAATGCGCAGCGTGTTGTCTTAAAATATAGTAACAATACAAAATGCAAGGTCTAGAGTTCATGTGCGTAGGTATTACCAGAAAAAAAAAGTTTTATAATAAAGTTGTTTTTAATTTTTTGCTTATAAATATATTTTAAATTTCAAATAAAAGGAATATTTTTATTTTAGATAAAAATGTTTTATTGTATTTATTTATCTTCCTATTTTTGTTAAATATAACGTTAAAAAAATAGTGATGGTAACACATGTTACCCCCATTGCCCCCCTTATCTAGAAGGATCCTCAGAGGTTCAGCCTAATCCAGAACATTCTTGTGGCGTCACAAAAATTATGATCAGAACTTGTTTCTTTTATCTAAGATCAGAACATGGAAAGATGGAAGAAGTTACTAATACATAAACAGGCATAAAATGAGCATGGCTAAAACTCACCGAGTATCTAATAAACTAGAAGAGAAAGAATACTAGTGAGATTACAATATAGAAGGACTAATATTCCTTATAGTTAGGAAAGAGAAAGAATAACCAAGAGCATAGGAAACCTTCTTCTTAGTTTATGTAGGAAAGAGCAAACTAGATGTGTTCTATCAATTTTAAATATAAATGATAAAAATATCAAATTAATGTATGCATACTATTTCTGTTGTCATAGAAACAAATTAGGTAAATACGATGTCAGAACTATGAAGACTAGAGATAGTCAGAACATAATAGTAAGAAGTATGATGCTATTTGTAACAAAATCGCTCTACGAGTATATGAAATTTTCGTAGGGGACTAATAATCACAAACTGAATTGTTAGTGAATTGAAAACTAATCTTTTGAAGATTCTAAAACCGAAGGTAATCCAAAATTAGACTATGCAGAAGGGCACTATCAAAAAACAAGATATTGGTTACCATTGCATAGAGCCTAACGTGTACTACAATATGACCTTAAATCCAAAAAATATCTTTACAAAAGCAACTCTGTAAAAGCGATCGTAGAGAAAAAATAATTTAATCTTTATACGTATTGGATAGAAATATATTGCTGCCCTTGAAATTTATTTATATTTTGTTATTTTTAATGGAAAATAATACAAAGTGACAATCTTCTGGTACATTAACAAACACAATGTTAGTAACCGAATCAAATAATGACCTTTATCCATAGTCGTCTCAGAGGGTATAATTTAATATATAAAAAAATCTGAAAGAGTATTCACAAAATAATTTATAAAACAGAATATTACTTAAGCACATTTCTGGAATACTTTTTTTTGCAATAATAAAAGCAGAATGGGAGAGAGCATCAATGTCTATTCAGTACATTTTTTTAGTTCATTTATCAGACAATACAAACTTAGTCAGTCACCGTGGTTTATTGTATATAGTTTAAAATTGCTGCTTTATGTAAATACTTTAATAAAAATCTATTGTTTCAAATAATATTATTACTAAATCATTTGTAATTTAAGTTTCTACAGCTCTGCAATAAAATCGTAAGAGCATAATAATGAAACGATATAAAACGTGTAATTCAAAAATTGCTCTTATGTAGAGTAAGGGATAAATGATATACCTTCTTTAAGATGGATATTAAGGTGTACCATTAGGTATTTCAACGTTACCTGCAGGCACATCCACTTTCCAATATATTTCATTTGTTGTTTGCTTTATTAAGGATGCAGTTCCTGCTGGAAATTTCGTTATGTTGGATTCCTCCTACACATTATGTTGCATCTTAAAGCTTTTATTGTTAAGTTTTTGATACGCTATATTAATGTTTGCACTAAGCTCTTTCCATTTGTGCTTTTTCTACTCAGTCATTCTCCAAAGCGGTTAGCAGAGGTCGCCAAGAGGTGCTTCTCTTATATCAGCCGGTGTTAGCCGATACTTGACGAACACAAATCTTCTAATAAATGAGTGCGTAGAGCAATCGTAAAGGATATGCCCGATGGTCTTATCTTCTTGTTCGGACTCTGTGCAAAGTGCGGATTCTGATGGCCCCATGATATGGAGATGCTTTCGTACTTGACAATGACCAGTCAGAATACCTGTGACTAGGCGCAGATTTTGTCTAGTCATAGTCAAGTATTTGATTGCTGCAGTGTTGTCAGGATAACTTAAGAGCTCCTTGGTAACTCTGCAGTTTCTTGTTTCATCCCATCTTTCCTTGAATTTCACAAGGGAATGTTTGATTAGGTCTGTCACTACCGATTTTGTCAGGCCAATAGAAGGGCCAGGTCCAAAAAGTACTTGGTTGGCAGCTTTCTTGGCTAGTGAATCAGCAAGACGGTTACCTTTCGATGTGGCGTGACCTTTGATCAATCTTAAGGTAACCACATTGTTGATTAATACTTCGGCCAAAGCTTCGTGACATTCTAGTACTAACCCTGAGTAAATACGTAGTCTGTTCAGGGTGAGTAGTGCTATCTGTATAAATAAGCATATTCCTTCCAGTGATATTGTTCCTGGTTATTTCTTTTGCTACTATGAAAGTCCCCGTTAGCTGTTTGCACCACACTGGTACTATTGCTCACAGCCCATTTTATGTTTAGGTTTAAAAATCTGGAGTATATTCCACATCCTGAGCCTTGTTTTCTTTTAGGACCATCGGTGTAGATATAAATCGTACCTGCCACTTCCAGCTCTTCTATTTGTTCTATTATAACTTTACATGACTTATGGAAGATAAATCTCGGTGAGATGGAATCCATGTTCGCTTGAAGCAGTGGGAGCGTATCGAGCGCCTCCTGCCAAAAGCGACGTCTCGCCTCACCAGATCCTACTGCAGGTTCTATTCCAACCGTGCGGAGGCGTGTCATTTTCGTGAAAGCCATCTTGCACCACTGTTCTGTACTTTTGAGAGCTACTTGCATTATTTCGCAGAGTATATTCTCAAAAATTCCCTGTTTACAGAATGACCAAGACATCTGCATAATATGCTAATGTGTAGTGACTGTATTTTATTCTATTATGGCTTAATAAATGCTCGGTGGGGTTTGGCGATGGTCATGTCTCTGTCCTGATACCACCATTCCTCTGGTTTTTAACATACCCTGCTTTCTGCATGGTTTGATTACTGTTTTTGTGACCCCACAAAATGATTTTTGGACAAAAAGAACGTTTGAGATTCTTTCTTTATTGTCCTTGTGTCTACTGTGGCCTAGTGCTGTGGCCAAGGTTAGTGTGTTTATTACTTATACTACTCTTGAAATTTCATATTTACTTTTAATGTTTCAGAGCTACACATTTTACATTAGAAAATTGTTTAATATATCAAGTTTTGAGCGCGGTTGGTTTTGTTATAATAATAGGTAACAAGGTTTGTCCAACACGCGCAAAAATCGTAATATTACAAATCGTGCACTCTACCCAAAAATTGTATACAGCGCATGATTTATATGCTAATATTACGGTTTTCGCTCGTGTTGGAACAGATCTTATGATTTTGAAACCAAATATACATTTTTGTACAAAATCAGATATTATATTAAGAAACTGAACGCGACTGGTGTCTGTTTGATTCCAAAATATAGCAACATTATAAAAACCAACATATATAATTAATTTTAACGATTCGCATTTCATCTTAAATATTTCTTTCACTAATATTATGCTTTTGTCGATATTTAAAATAAACCGGAATCATACGCTTGACTTACGTACTTAAGTCTTCTGTTTTTTATATTTCTTATTAAAGAAACAGTGGTTACGCTTATGCCTTCATATCTAAGTCACTAATTAAAATACATTCAAAAGATCGCATTTAATTGTTTTAATTGATTAAACTTTATTTATAGTAAAATTAAATTGAACTCTGACACGTTAATTATTTTTCAAGAAATCCTTTTTTTTTAATATCTTCTACAATATTCATGCAACTCAGGCTATCTATTCTTGAATCTCAGGGTGTAGAAATTTTAAGGAAGATGAGACAAAAATACAAATTTTGTGCGTTGCAGATAAAGATGTAAAACTGGTTTTATATTCCCTCGAATTCAAAACTAATTAGCCTGGAGCTGACTGATAGGAGAGAGAAACCCGGAAAACCCAAACAATAAAAGCTATGATTATCTTTTAGCTCTACCGTGCTCATATTTGTATCGAATATGTCTTTTTTGTTTTTATTATACGCAGCACCTTACTGATATAATTCAGTTTTACAGATTGCTTTTGTTTTTTCAATATTCTCCAACATTTTCCAATATTTTCCAACATTTTCCAATATTTTCCAATATTTTCCAATATTTTCCAATATTTTCCAATATTTTCCAATATTTTCCAATATTTTCCAATATTTTCCAATATTTTCCAATATTTTCCAATATTTTCCAATATTTTCCAATATTTTCCAATATTTTCCAATATTTTCCAATATTTTCCAATATTTTCCAATATTTTCCAATATTTTCCAATATTTTCCAATATTTTCCAATATTTTCCAATATTTTCCAATATTTTCCAATATTTTCCAATATTTTCCAATATTTTCCAATATTTTTCAATATTTTCCAACATTTTCCAATATTTTCCAATATTTTCCAATATTTTCCAATATGTTCCAATATTTTCCAATATTTTCCAATATTTTCCAATATTTTTCAACATTTTCCAATATTTTCCAATATTTTTCAATATTTTCCAATATTTTCCAATATTTTCCAATATTTTCCAATTTTTTCCAATATTTTCAAATATTTTCCAATATTTTCCAATATTTTCCAATATTTTTCAACATTTTCCAATATTTTTCAATATTTTTCAATATTTTTCAATATTTTTCAATATTTTCCAATATTTTCCAATATTTTCCAATATTTTCCAATATTTTCCAATATTTTCCAATATTTTCCAATATTTTCCAATATTTTCCAATATTTTCTAATATTTTCCAATATTTTCCAATATTTTCCAATATTTTCCAATATTTTCCAATATTTTCCAATATTTTCCAATATTTTCCAATATTTTCCAATATTTTCCAATATTTTCCAATATTTTCCAATATTTTCCAATATTTTCCAATATTTTCCAATATTTTCCAATATTTTCCAATATTTTCCAATATTTTCCAATATTTTCCAATATTTTCCAATATTTTCCAATATTTTCCAATATTTTCCAATATTTTCCAATATTTTCCAATATTTTCCAATATTTTCCAATATTTTCCAATATTTTCCAATATTTTCCAATATTTTCCAATATTTTCCAATATTTTCCAATATTTTCCAATATTTTCCAATATTTTCCAATATTTTCCAATATTTTCCAATATTTTCCAATATTTTCCAATATTTTCCAATATTTTCCAATATTTTCCAATATTTTCCAATATTTTCCAATATTTTCCAATATTTTCCAATATTATCCAATATTTTCCAATATTTTCCAATATTTTCTAATATTTTCTAATATTTTCCAATATTTTCCAATATTTTCCAATATTTTCCAATATTTTCCAATATTTTTCAATATTTTCCAATATTTTCCAATATTTTCCAATATTTTCCAATATTTTCCAACATTTTCCAACATTTTCCAATATTTTCCAACATTTTCCAATATTTTCCAATATTTTCCAATATTTTCCAATATTTTCCAATATTTTCCAATATTTTCCAATATTTTCCAATATTTTCCAATATTTTCCAATATTTTCCAATATTTTCCAATATTTTCCAATATTTTCCAATATTTTCCAATATTTTCCAATATTTTCCAATATTTTCCAATATTTTCCAATATTTTCCAATATTTTCCAATATTTTCCAATATTTTCCAATATTTTCCAATATTTTCCAATATTTTCCAATATTTTCCAATATTTTCCAATATTTTCCAATATTTTCCAATATTTTCCAATATTTTCCAATATTTTCCAATATTTTCCAATATTTTCCAATATTTTCCAATATTTTCCAATATTTTCCAATATTTTCCAATATTTTCCAATATTTTCCAATATTTTCAATATTTTCCAATATTTTCCAATATTTTCCAATATTTTCCAATATTTTCAATATTTTCCAATATTTTCCAATATTTTCCAATATTTTCCAATATTTTCCAATATTTTCCAATATTTTCCAATATTTTCCAATATTTTCCAATATTTTCCAATATTTTCCAATATTTTCCAATATTTTCCAATATTTTCCAATATTTTCCAATATTTTCCAATTTTCCAATATTTTCCAATATTTTCCAATATTTTCCAATATTTTCCAATATTTTCCAATATTTTCCAATATTTTCCAATATTTTCCAATATTTTCCAATATTTTCCAATATTTTCAAATGTTTTCCATTATTACTAAGATGGCAAAAAAGAAGAATTTTCGGAGAAACGAAAGTGTAGAAAGAATATTTTAAATTAAGAACAAATTGAGAAGTATAGAGCCTGTTCGCAGAAAACCATATTGTAGATTTGATAAAATAAAAAAGAATGTAATGGTAAAGATATATCGAAACAACAGCTTAGTATAGAGTAGTAAATGACAATAGAATGGAGAATAACGGATTATATAAAGAAAAAAGAAGATGAAAGCAACTGTAACAGAACCAAGAAGTGAAACACTTTTGGTTACTTCCTGTTTCTATTATCTCTTATTACATTAATGTTAATGTTTTGGCGGCTAATTACCATTATTTTTACTTTTTCTTCATTAAAAAATAAACTTTTATACTGAAATACTTCATATTTCTTCAATCTTCTTTCTAACGTTGGCGAATCTGTGGTATATTAAATAATACGCATTGTAATTTTCAAATCCATAATTAATAATAATTGTGCAGCAAATAAATCCAGTTTGATTAAAATATTTAGAATAGAAAGAAGGTCAAAATTTTATCAGATTATTTTGACACGTGTGATGATGAAATTCTCACTAGAGTTCTAGGTGACATCCTAAATAATAATAATGATAGTGATAAAGTTATAAAGATTGTTTTAGATGATCGAATTTGCTAGTATTAGATTTTTTAAATTATTGTTTATCTATAACAATTTTGAAATTTCACAATTTATTCAAATTTCTTATTTAAATCGTATTAATTTGATTCGAACAACTGTTTGCTTTAATTCACCTATTAATACCGTTGTTTTTTTAAATGTGTAGTCAGTCACTCAACCTTAAGAAACTAAAAGTTAACAGTACGAAATAATTTTTAAATAATCTTTATAATATCTAAAAGAGTATTCTTCTACCACTACCTTCACTTTGGGTCCAAGACATATGTTTACATTCCTGCTGAAAAGAGAAGAAACCTGGATTAAAAGTCAAACCGGTTAACTTTTTTCGGATAAGATGAACATCAAAGATTATTGGTTTAACAATGAGAAAAGTTGTCAGAGTTTTTAATTAATAAATCCTTTAATAATGAAGTTGTTCTTAGAACATCCTGCAGAGATTCATCACTAGAGGAAACAAATAAGCAGGAAAAATCTCCAGAGGTGCTAAAAGTGCAGGTTGACATTCAGGAGGAGCACATTATTAAAAAAAATACACAAAACGATACAGAAGAAGAATACGAAATCAGCTGCAAGGCCACAGCAGTTTTTGTCAAAATATATAAGGAGATCTGAAAGATCCAATAAGGGAGTACCTTCTAAAAGATTTGTAAATAATGTAGAAGAAAACGAAAAAGTACTGATAATCTTTATCTTTATCATCATCTATATCTTCAACTTCAGAAACATTTTCCCAATAATAAAAACTAAACTGGGTTTTATACGTCTCACTTGTAAATACCACTGGCATATTTATGTCCCTGTAGAAAATGGCATGTTTTTAACTTGGTTTTTGAAATAAATTTTACGAATAGATATTATGTTTATAATAAATTTGTTTAAATTTAGTTACCTGTTAAAATTTTTATGAAAGAACTGGAAATAACACAAACAACGCAAATAAGCTTCAAACACGTCTAGCACGCTTGTAAAAAAGTGAACAAATGACCGGTAAACAACGAGCCACGTTGTCAGAACTTCTCTATTTTCAAGAATATGCTTGAAAAATACCATTAGTCAAATAACACAATAAAATTGGGTCATAGTTATACCAAATAGATATTTTAAATTCTCGTCGAGACATACATAGCCCAAGGGGGTCGAAAGGGTTAAAGACAATCTTTTTAATTATTGTTCTACTTAAAATCTACTTTCAATAAATTATTATAAAATTAAGATATACAATAAGTGTTTCATTTAATTTTTAAGTAGGTAGTCAAGTACTATTAAATATATTAGGTATATAAAATGTTATTAAATACAATGTATTAACTAATAAATAATACACATTATTCATTGTGAATGATATTATACTGTTGATCTTCCATTACAGTAGGGTAAGTCCGGGAGAGATGCCGATTTTCCATATCGACTTCGATTACTGCTTCCAAATTAACATGACATTCTCAAAAAATACGGCGTTAGATTCAACATTTATTTATCAAAACAGAAATAATTCTTTTTCCGTAATATACATGTAACAAATATTTAAAAAAGTAAAAAAATAAAAACTCTGCAAATCGGCATCTCTACCTAACCCTGCGGGAGAGATGCCGTCGGGTTAAGGTAGAGATGCCACTACACTACACGCCTCATAATAAGCACTTTAACACAGCTCTCGTACGTATTTTGATACTTGGTACATCCTTCATGCACCCACTGCTGACAATGAAGGCATTGAATCCAATCGTCATCTTTGGTTGTCTTCGTATATTCTTCGCTACATCCAGCGCAGATTGCGTCATCATGATTTTATAAATCTGAACTGCTATCAGGAAGAGACAAGCTTAAATCTTCGTCACTGGACTCTTCTACCTGCAGTTTTAGGGTTTTCTGTTTTCGTTTTGGTACCGTCTTCCTAGTAAATTTCCCCTTCTTAGATACCACAGATGTTTCAGCTGGATTTGTGCCACGTTTCTTTTTATTGAGCTTCCCTTGCTTGTGCTCCTGAATGCTTTTACGCCTTTCTATAGCTTCTGCATTATTTAAAATATCTGCGAGCTTCCCTCCTTTTCTTTTAACGTCCAGCACAGCAGCAGCTGTAACAGGAGATACAATGTTTAAAGCTTTTCCAGACGTAATTTTTGGAGAAGCAGATGTTTGGGTTTGGACTATAGGCTCCTCAGCTAAATCGGCATCACACGAAGTTGAAGGTTGTGGTGAGGCCTTTCGTTTCTCCTCGCACAGTATTTTCGCAGATGTTTCTTGTATTCCCACATCGTTACCTCCATAGGCGTAGTCCGGGATACTTTGCGGATTAAACGGGTGAATTCCAGCTGCCTTAAAACCCGATGTTGCATTTTGAACATTTGCACTCTTTCCCCAAGCAACACCTCATCCGAACTGTAGCCTTCCAATTTTTCTATCAGCATTGGATTTAACCCAAGTATCGCAAGCTTGATAAAATTCTGCCTTCAACGACTGGAAAAAGGATCTATCGAGAGGTTGTAGGTAGTGGGTGGTATGTGGAGGAAAGCAAAGAAGGATGATGTAATTTTCATCAGCGTAAGTCGGAGCTTCTACTGAGCTACAGTGAGATCCGTGGCCATCAAGAATTACGATAACCTTTCCCGCAGTTTTCCGTGGGACGAAATGA